ATAGCAAAAATAAAAATAAAAATGATATGTATAAAAATTAAATAAATCAACAAAATTAACAATACATTTTTTATTGTAAACTGACAGCAGAAATTAAAATTTCTTGATTATGTTTACTTTTTCAGCAGAAACAAACTTAATGCAGTACTAATATATTGCAATTTTTGCTCAAATTTGCTGCTACTTTATTGGCAAACTGTTAATAGTTTGTTTATTAGATACAAATCTTTTCTTAATTTATTTTTTTCAATTGAATTTTTTTGCTTATTCACATTTTATGTCTTAAAAAATGTTTATCTTTTTATATATCTATATCATAAAATTATTTTAATTGCACAAGTTACCTTTTTGTATCATAAGAGTTAAATCGATTGGATTTTGTTTCGACAGAACTGTAGAACGTAAGAAATTGACATTTTCAAATACAATTGGTACATCGAGATAATTTTGCTTTTCTAACCAGCCGATCATTTGCCATATCAGAAAAAGATATCCTGTAGCCGGTAATAAATTTTTTCTATTAACGACATGCCCAGTCATATATGAAAATTCTTCCTCGAGTAAATTAATGGTAACAATTACTTCCCCAATATCAAATTTTGTTTGTCCGAAATAATGACATACATACCAATCTTCGGAATGATCCCATCTGTAAAACGTGTTATTAATTTAAAAATATGTAAAACATTAGCTTTATTAGCGTTTAATGTCGTTAAAAATAATGCAAATTTAATTTTCTGTTTTTTTCTGTTTTTTTTCTGCTATTTTTTGTAATAAACATAACGTTGAAGAATCTTATGTTACGTTAAACAAAATTTACCTTATAAGATGAGAAATCATTGATGTATTACGACTCACAGGAAACTTAACTTTCGGATATAATTTTGCGATTTGCAGCTGTAATCCTGCATTATAAAGTTTTCCAATTCCGTGTAAGAATATCTCAATGTTTGGTTTGTGAGAGAATTTGTATAACGCGACATTTGTCACAGTTGCATTTAACGAATCATTAAGAATGTATTGTAGAATGTCGTGCGGCGCTATCTCAATCGTCACCGCGTCATTTGGAATAAAACGCATAGCTTCTGAAAATACTACTGGGGTTAACAGACTATTTGTATAATATTTTGCTAGATACGAGATATTTGGAAATGTGCTGAACCATTCATAGGATTTGTTCAACATGTTCAACCACTTTGAGCTCGGAGAGGCCTTCTGTGGCAATATCTGATTCAGATATTTCAAAAGTATAACTCTTGCAGGCTCGATATAATGACTATGAAAAGGTATATGTCCAGAGAGAATTTCTTTTACAGAAATGTTGTCGTTCTAAATAGGAATAAATTTCTTTTAATAAACTCATTTTTTATTTAATTCGACGTAATTATGAGCATAAATATATTATATTATTTGTACTTATACTTTTTAAGTATATCCAAACCTGTAGTTTAGCGAGGAATACTCTCACAGAGCTTGTTGGTCCACTGACAATATAATTATGCGAACTATTGTAACAAGCTATATCGATATCTGATGGACACATATTCTTCATAATTTTATAATCTAAATTAATTTCAGCCATCAAGCCATCTATTATTTTTGACTTAAAAAATGCTAAACCGACATAATAAGCCAACATGATGGTTTCTTCGACTGTCAAGCATCCATCGGCATATCCACAAACCAATTCACCAATGGAATGACCCATTATTACATCAGGAGTGATACCAATACTTATTAAGAGTTATTAAGAGTTATTAAGAGATCAACTATTCCGATCTGTAATATATGTAATTTTTTTTATATATTTTAACACTTTCTATTTTTCTTTTAAATAAAATAATATTATAAAATGTTACAAATTTAACTTTCTGCATACAATTATGTAACATACGAAAGGCTTTTCTCAATTTTAATTCTTTTATAAGAATTCTGAGTTTTTTTATGAAATACTGATCATTAAAGATACGATGTTTCATTAGATGATACAAAAGAATTCCCCGATATAGACAATATATTTTTATCTGTACCTGTAATCCAATAAGACCTACAAATAAGTTGACTACGTTATCGAGAATATAATTGTCGTTATTTAATAGAATCCCTGTGACAAATATATCATAAGGTTTCAAAACAGTATCGCATTTTTGGATTGCTTTAGCGAATACTGGAAATTCCATTAAAGCTCGACCTATATACATATATGTATCAATATTTGAAAGAACAATTAAGAATAATTATATATTAAATAACGTTGTCGATAAATTATTTTAAATAATGTAATATTTTTATACAGGATGTCTGAAAAGTTTTTGCGATCCCAAAGGAGCGATGAGTGTGTAGGCGCGCGGCAAAGGCTTTTCGCCTCCTCAATCGCTTCACCGTGCGCCGCCATTATGTTATAGTGAGACCGCCTTCGCCGCACGCGCATTGGCCAATTTTCTTTAATTAATTTTTCGTTAATTATTGCAAATATCGCCAAACAGAAGAGGGCCTTCCTTCTTAATTTGAGCCAATCTATCTTTACACTTCGGGACCACCAAAAGTTTTCAGATACCCTGTATAAATAATATATACATACGTAAATGAAATTCGTTCTAGAAATCGTTTACCTATGTTTTGCACACGCTTTATATAGATCTTCTATCATTATTATATTTTAGTTTACTTTGTATCAAAGAATAGACTTTTTACATCTAAATGTAACTTAAGCAATTATTTAATAAAAATTTACAAACTAAAAATATTATAAAAGGTTAAATGAAATTGTGTAGTCGACCAAACTAGCCAGAAATATAATTTATTCAATACGACGTTTCGACCATATGGTTGTGGTCCTTATCAAGTATACACTGGAATAGATATATAAGTTGCAAAAAATTATTATTTACATCTAATTTTCGGTTTGAACCGTGATACGCACAATTAATTTAGTTTAAACGTGAGATATTTTAAATATATACATACAAATTAGCCGACGTATTGGTAATCAGAGTGTCGGCATAGATAATAATCTTGTACAAAGCACAAGTCACATTAACAAAACTTTATTTTTAAAATTCAATTTTTAAGAACAATGAGTCCGTGTGGGACCTCGTCAAAGACTGAACGCGATCATAAGTAAACGGAACTACATGACCTTTATTATTTTGTCATAAATGTTGTTTTCTGTGTCTTTTTGTAAGTTGATTAGGTTATCAAATCTCTTTATGAAAAACATCTCAGCAATTTCTCTTTTGCATTTAACGGACGTTTTTATGAGCAGATCTTCGGCACCCCCATGGGCTCTCCACTTTCACCTATCTTAGCAGATATGGTAATGGAAGATTTGGAGATGCAATGTCTAAACTCATTAGGTTTTACCGTTCCTACTTATTATAGATTTGTCGATGACGTTTTTGCAATAGTACCACGCGCAAAAATCAACGAGATCTTGACAAAGTTCAACAATTATCACGAGCGCTTAAGATTCACTTATGAGACTGAAGTTGACTCATCCATTAGCTTTTTGAATGTAAAAATTATTCGGTCCGATAATAGACTTATCACTAATTGGTTCCGGAAACCTACATGGTCAGGGAGGTATATAAACTATCATTCGAACCACCCATAAAAGTATAAAATTAATACTATTTATAATTTAGTTGACCACGCGATCTTATTATCTAATGACGGCTTTAAACAAGACAACATAAAGCTAGTTTTTGACACGTTAATTAAGAACGGCTTTCCGGAACATTTTATACATAAACACATTAAAAAAAGACTCAACTTTTTAAATAATCGTGACCATAATGCTACAACTGACGTGAATCTTACTCGTTCTGATGTGACTCGGTTTATCACAATACCATACGTTGAAAATGTTAGTCAAGATTTATACCGTCTCCTGCGTAATAGAGGCTTTAAGGTCGTGTATAAGATAATAAAAAAACTAAATAATTTAATTACACGGGGTAAAGATCGCTTACACGATAATGATAAAACAGGCGTTGTATACAAATTAAATTGCAAGGATTGTAATTTAGCATATATCGGACAAACAAAAAGACATTTACGTACGTGAGTAAAAGAACACTGTAATAACATAAAATTACATGAAACTAATCATTCAGTAATTAGCAAGCATAGATTAGAATCTGGCCATGATTTTGATTGGATAAAACCGAACATCCTACACAACGAAAAGTATGTTCGCAAAAGAGAAATTGCTGAGATGTTTTTCATAAAGAGATTTGATAACCTAATCAACTTACAAAAAGACACAGAAAACTTAAACAACATTTATGACAAAATAATAAAGGTCATGTAGTTCCGTTTACTTATGATCGCGTTCAGTCTTTGACGGTCTTTGAGGTCCCACACGGACTCATTGTTCTTAAAAATTAAATTTTAAAAATAAAGTTTTGTTAATGTGACTTGTGCTTTGTACAAGATTATTATCTATGCCGACACTCTGATTACCAATACGTCGGCTAATTTGTATGTATATGTGGGGTATGTCACAACTAAGACTCTACGTTGCAATAAATAATAATTCTGTATTTGTTTCTTTTATAATACAATTGTTAAATGAGTATATCTGATGTGAGCGTGATGTGTCTGTACGCGAGCGAGTCAGTAGTATCGTGTTCAATCGGGTGATGTGAACTCTGTGCAAGCCGGGAAGTTACTACTCTCTGGAAATCTGGATTCCGCATGCATGAACCGAGAAAGGTTTTTTATAATAGGAGAAATTTTACAAGGGATGAATTGCATAAGGAAAAACCATGTGTTTGCCAAATGTTACATGGCAATCTATAGACTCGGAGGACGGCTGCGAAACATGCAAGGGTTGTAAATTCTATTGAGGTGAAAGCGGATGCATGCACGCGGGAATTAGAAAGTTGGTAGGATTTCGGACATGTGTGGAAAATGTGCGTGTGTATGTAACACGGGCGGAGTAGGAGACAATTGTCCCTACAGTACCCCCCTGCTAGTGTTTAACGATATATAAGAATTTACGAAAATCCTCCTTGTAGCCGGTCCGGAAAGCGGACACGTCTACCTGACTTGGTTACGTGTTTGGTCGAGTTTTCTAGTGTTGATTTTAGATGTGTGTGTTTCTGTGTATCGGGTAGGTCTGTAATTACTGTGCCCTTTTCGGAAGGGCCTGGAACGTCCTCCTCGTTGTTGCCATCCTGAGAGACGACTGGATCATTGGCCATGATGTACGCTGGTTTAAGGCGGTCGATGGAAACCGTAACGTCCCGGCCGTTCATACGAACCACGAACGTCTTTTCTGCCCTTTTGATGACTTTGTACGGGCCGTCATACGGCTGTTGCAGAGGCTGTTTGAGACCATCATGGCGTACAAAGACTTCCTCCGAGGTAGCAAGGTCCTTGAAAATGAATGTCTTCCCCGTACCGTGGCGAGATACCTTCGTCGGTCTCAATTCCCTCAGATGTTGGCGTAGCTCCTTGATGAAATCTGACACGTTGTCCGCTGCGTTTTCGCGGTGGAGAGATCCTAAGAACTCGCCCGGGAGGCGTAGCGACTGTCCGTAGACCATGTCGGCTGCCGTGGCTTGCAGGTCCTCTTTCCAAGCTGAGCGGATGCCCAGCAAGACGGTGGGAAGGCTCTGTGTCCATCATTGTTGTTGGCACATGATTGCTGCTTTTAGTTGACGGTGCAGCCGTTCAACCATGCCGTTGGCTGAAGGGTGGTATGCGGTTGTTCTCAGGTGAGTCGTACCTAACAAGTGATTTAATTGCTTGAAAAGATACGACTCGAATTGTCTGCCTTGATCCGTGGTTATTCTCAACGGCGTGCCGAACCGAGATATCCATCCGTCGTAGAGAGCACGTGCGACAGTTGCAGCTTCTTGATCCTGCAGGGGAACAGCTTCTGGCCAGCGAGAGTATCGGTCTACCATAGTTAGGCAGTATCGGTATCCCTCAGACGGTGGCATGATTACGATATCAATATGTATATGCTCGAACCTGGCAGAAGGTGGTGCGAATGTACCGACAGGTGATGAGACATGGCGAGAGATCTTGGCGCGTTGGCATTGGATGCAGCTGCGAGCCCATTGTCTGCAATCAGCTTTGATCGACGGCCATACGTAGCGCTGGGTTATGAGCTTGACCGTCGCGTTGATTCCCGGGTGGGACAGCTGGTGCAGCGAATCGAATGCGACTTTCCTGAACTCCTGAGGAACGAAGGGCCGCGCTGTCTGTGTTGAGACGTCGCAAAAAACTGCAACGTCGGTGCCGGGGATGCGTACCTTCTTTATTAAGAGGGTGGAGTCTTCCTCTAGATATCGCTGGAGCTCTTCGTCTTGTTGTTGGGCTGCTGCCAAGGCTTCGTAATCGAGCGTATGCTCAACTTCCTCTACGCGTGACAGAGCGTCTGCTACTACGTTGTCCTCCCCGGAAACATGGCGGATATCGGTGGTGAATTGTCCGATGAAGTCCAGGTGTCTGAATTGTCGAGGTGAACATTGGGCCGACTTCTTGTGGAACGCATAGACGAGAGGTTTGTGGTCCGTGTAAACTGTGAATGATCGTCCTTCCACGGTGTGCCTGAAATGCTTGATTGCTAGGTAAACAGCAAGTAACTCCCGATCGTAGGCTCCGTACTTTGCTTCCGCAGGACTTAGCTTCTTGGAAAAGAATTCCAGGGGTTGCCAGGCGTCTCCGATCCGTTGTTGTAGGGCTGCTCCGACTGCGTAGTCTGACGCGTCGCTGAAGATTGCGAGCGATGCGTCGGGCTCGGGATGAGCCAGCAAGGTTGCTTGGGCTAAGCATTCCTTGCTTGCTTCAAATGCCTCTATAGTTGTTGACGTCCAGTTGACTGGCGACTTCCCTTTAACATTGCCTGACAGCAGGTTGTTAAGTGGTGCTTGCGTCTCTGCAGCCTTGGGCAAGAATCTTCGATAAAAATTCAACATGCCCAAGAATTGACGTAATTTCTTCACCGTGTCGGGTCGTGGATAGGTCCGTATGGCGTCGACCTTCTCCGGTAACGGGCGCGTCCCTGCACCGGAAACAAGGTAGCCGAGAAATTTGACTTCGGGCTGTCCGAATACGCATTTAGCTGGGTTGATGACGACTCCATACTTCTTCAGCCGCTCGAACAGAATCCTCAGGTGTTTTAGATGTTCTGCTTCTGATGTTGATGCGATGAGGATGTCGTCAATGTATGCGTAGCAGAACTCCAGACCTTGCAGCACCTCGTCAATGAAGCGCTGGAAAGTCTGTGCGGCATTACGCAACCCGAAGGTCATGTACTCAAATTCGAAGAGACCGAAAGGCGTCGTGATGGCTGTCTTAGAAATGTCCTCCTCCGCGACAGGAATCTGATTGAAGGCTCGTACCAGATCGACGGTGGAAAAGACGTTTTTCCCATGAAGTGACTGGGAGAAATCCTGGATGTGTCTCACGGGATATCGGTCCGGGCAGGTTCTCGCATTAAGGGCGCGATAATCTCCGCAAGGACGCCAGTCATCGCCTTTTTTCGGCACCATGTGTAAGGGCGATGCCCAGGAGCTCTGTGACGGGCGAGCGATGCCCAGGTGCAGCATGGCCTCGAATTCCTTCTTCGCCGCCTTCAACTTCTCTGTTGAAAGTCGACGTGGCTTCTGTGCGACAGGCGGCCCTGGTGTGGTGGTGATGTAATGTCTCGTCGAGTGACTTACGGCCTTGGGGGTTCCGTCCGGTCGTGTCACCTCCGGGAATTGGTGGAGGAGTTCGTGATACCGCGACGAGCCTGAAATGGTCTTAACACTCGGAATGTCACACTCAATCACCCTTCCATGAGAGGTGAGTTGAGTGGTCGCGTCCAACAGCCGCTGGTTCCTCATGTCCACCAAGAGTCCGTAGTGCACGAGGAAGTCTGCACCGATGATTGGCTTGGAGACCGCGGCGACGACAAACCTCCAGGTGAATTGCCGTCGCAGTCCAAAGTCCAGAGCTAGCGCTACTGTTCCGTATGTAGCGATTGTTGTGTCGTTAGCCGCGGAGAGCTCGTAACTTGATTTCGTACGAGGTCCCGGTAGGCGCGAGCGTGGAAATACGCACACGTCGGCTCCCGTATCAATTAAGAATAGTAATTTGGTGGATCGATCGCTGACAAAGAGGCGGCGCGATATCGCGGGGCTGATGTCGTCGGCCGCCATTAGCGACTGCCCTGTTCGTTTCCCGGAGATCTATCACTGTACTTGCACGGCTTTTCGCACTTTCTTGCCTTGTCGCCGTATTGCCAATGGTACCAGCATATCTCGCCAGCTGCATCAGGACGCTGGCTCCGTGATCGCGAGCGCGACCGGAAACGCGAGCGCGACGGAGAGCGTGAGCGCGATCTTCCGCAGGCTTCGCAGGATCCGCTAGTTGGCTGACGCGCTCCTTGGGTATTAACCTCGATCGCCTCGAGCCTCCGTACCATCTCCGCCATTACACGAATCAGATCGTCACCGTGTGCTCGGGCAGGCTGAGGTGCGGGGGTTGACGTCTCGGCGATGAGATCTGCCGGGCCGTACAAGTCCGCGATGGAATCCGCGATATCGGCTCGCTTATCGAGCGTGAGGTCCCGATGCGCCGCGAGGAGGGCCTGGACGTGCCTAGGCAGACGGCCCAGCCAGAGCGTCTGCAAGACGTCCTCCGGGAACTCCTTGCCGGCAAGACCGCGAAGATGCCTGAGGAACTGCGACGGTTTACGATCTCCGAGAGGCTCGTTCTCCAACAGACGACGCGTGTTCTGCTCGCGTGAAGAGCCAAGGCGCTTGATCAGCTCGGTTTTTAAGAGTTCGTACGATTGTTCTTCCCTCATAAGTATGTCGCGGACCTCCAGAGCGTACCTTTGATCGAGGGCTGTGATTACGTAGCCATATTTGGTGCTGCTCTGCGTTATTCCTGCAGCTGCGAAACCGCCCTCCAGCATCCTGAACCACAACTCCGGGTCCGCGGGTATGAATGATGGCACTTTCACTGATACCCGATCGATCGACGACGAATGTGACGGGTTCGCCGTTTCGCGGTTCGCGACACCACTAGCGTTGTTGTGCGCCATACTGATAAACTCGGAGCGTCCAGCACTACGATGCACGGCACAGATCACTCACGATTCGCAAGAACAACAAATTTCAGATCACGTCGGGGTCACCAATTTGTGGGGTATGTCACAACTAAGACTCTACGTTGCAATAAATAATAATTCTGTATTTGTTTCTTTTATAATACAATTGTTAAATGAGTATATCTGATGTGAGCGTGATGTGTCTGTACGCGAGCGAGTCAGTAGTATCGTGTTCAATCGGGTGATGTGAACTCTGTGCAAGCCGGGAAGTTACTACTCTCTGGAAATCTGGATTCCGCATGCATGAACCGAGAAAGGTTTTTTATAATAGGAGAAATTTTACAAGGGATGAATTGCATAAGGAAAAACCATGTGTTTGCCAAATGTTACATGGCAATCTATAGACTCGGAGGACGGCTGCGAAACATGCAAGGGTTGTAAATTCTATTGAGGTGAAAGCGGATGCATGCACGCGGGAATTAGAAAGTTGGTAGGATTTCGGACATGTGTGGAAAATGTGCGTGTGTATGTAACACGGGCGGAGTAGGAGACAATTGTCCCTACATATATATTTAAAATATCTCACGTTTAAACTAAATTAATTGTGCGTATCACGGTTCAAACCGAAAATTAGATGTAAATAATAATTTTTTGCAACTTATATATCTATTCCAGTGTATACTTGATAAGGACCACAACCATATGGTCGAAACGTCGTATTGAATAAATTATATTTCTGGCTAGTTTGGTCGACTACACAATTTCATTTAACCTTTTGTAAATTCGACTAGCGATATTAAGCTATTTACTAATTTTTAAAAATATTATAATTGTTAATTTTTTATTGTATATAAGAATATGTATGTATATGTATGTATAATTTGAAAATCGTTAAACGTTAATTGCAAATAAACTTAATAATAATTATTATATTGTTACGCGCTCGAGTCACTACAACCCTTCCATTGTCTGGATCCTGTAGTCAAGAAGATTGTTTAAAAACAACAATAGTCAGCTGAGTCGGAAGATAGCTATCAGCACGTATTTTATACGAGCCATTACTAAGTTTTGTTATTAATCTGTTGTTCGTGTGTGTTCTGTGTTTCGCATTAAAGTTCTTATGTTCTCTAAAAGTGTCTTGTTATTACTCGCGGTCTGAGAGTGCCAGTGGTCCGCTAATCCGCGCTTCGATATAACTCGAAGCCCTCGTCCTGGGCATAACAATATTGTATATATTTGATTTATACTTGCCCATGTTAAGACACTGAGATCCAATTCCAGAAAATATAAAGCAAATCGGTTTTTTCGTATATAAGTTGCGTCTCCTTTTAATTATTGCTTTATCAGTTATTTTGGATCCAGCAATTATATATCCTTTGTAGGGATGATCTTTTGTATTGCTGTTATGAATACGATGCAAGAGTGATATATATTCTACATCTACTGCCCGATTCTGTATCTATAAATATATACTTATTTATTTATTTATTTATTTAT